TTCTGCTAGGCTTTACCTGTTTAGCTGTTTAGCATGATTTCTTTCCACTGGTGCCAACCTGATTCCCACTGGAACAAAACCAACAAACTGCCCAGTAGCCTGCACCTTTTTTCCAGTTTCACAGCCACATGGGCACAGGATGGAGTTACTGGTTAAACCATCAGTGACTGACCATCACTGGTGGTAACTCACCATTGTTTGGTTTAGCAGAGTTTAGTGGATCCTGTCCAGGTCCCAACAAGTTCTAACAAGTTCTGACATGAACTCTGCAGGTCACTGAGTGTCGTGATCAAAAACACACAGACTGACATCGATGGGACGAGGATCAGAAGCTCAAAGCTAAAATGATAAATGAACTGTAGAGCACTTTATCAAAACCGCTGCACACTTACATTCACCCATTCACACACTGATGGTGGTAAGCTACACTGTAGCCACAGCTGCCCTGGGGCACACTGAGAGAGGCGGGGCTACCATGCACCATCAGCAAAACTAAACAGAAATAAGAAATAAACTCTCAGAAATAAAACAAAACAGTCGCTAGAAAACAAAAAACTGCCAAAAGGTGGCTTTAATCTGTTTTAATGCTTTTAGCTTTTAGCTAATGTTCTGCTAATGCAGTGAACAGTTTGTGTACATTACTTTAACTGAACTAGAGGATGATCATTACAGGCACCAGTTTTACAGAAACTGAGTTGAAACGTGGTGTGGTAGTAGCTGAGAGTCATCCTCATCATCAGCATCAACTGGTTATTAAACTTTATGGCTGCAGTTTTTCTCTCGGCCTCCTGGTGTCAAACTTCAGCTGTCAGGTTTTTTTTTTGGTGTTTAATAATCGATCCAGTTTTCTGGGAATAAAATAATTCAACTCAAAAAGAGACACAAGCTATTATTGGAGCCTGTTACCAAACTCTGTGTGCCACATTGTTTACGAGCTGTTRTTTAGACAGCTAGCAGCTAAATGTTAGCATGCAGCTAAAAGCTTCATCAGTGGACACACGGATGTGAGGGGCAGTCAGGGGGAGGACAACATGGCCGTCACTGTCAGCTTAACGAGCAGCAGCTCCTGGATAACGACCCTGCAGCTGACCCGAGGCTCAGAACCAGCAGAAATGTCACCAAACTCACACTAATGTGTACAGAACCAGGTCCAAAGTGTTGTCTATAAATACTGACGTTATCTGAACACAAAGTCTGTTTTTAACCCTGGATGAAGTTTATCTGAGACTTTAACAGACGATGATCAACAGGAGGCGTCTCTGTCCACAGCTGGGCCAAGTTAAACCTGCAGCTCCTRCAGAGGACAGGCAGACATTTTATTTACAATCTGAAAAACATGACAACCTCAAACACAAAGAAACAACATTTTCAGACAAAAACAGAGTAAACACAGAAAGAACATAAAGCAGAACACTAGCCCAGTGTAGTAATTACAGTTAGCAGAGTGCTAACTGAAAATATCAAACTAGATGAAAAGGTAAAAGTTATATCATAATAAAAAAAGCTCTAGGTAACAATTAAATTAAAACTAACTAAAAACTAAACATAACAAGAAAGTTAAAAGCAGGAAATCCTGGATTGAAGCTAAATTTAGCAAAAACAAACTAAAAAATTATAAGCATCACAAAGCTGATAAGGAACAAGAAAAATTTAAAAGTAATAAAAGAATAGATAGCAAAACACTAGTTAGCAGCCGAAAGTAGCATGAGACCACAGGAAAGCTAAATGT